GGGATGGGCCAGATTGGGAAGGGCGGTACGAGGGTGGGACTGTGGCGTTGGTGTTTTGGAACATCAAAGATGGACAGGGTTTTCACGAAGGTCGCTCCTCAGATATCTCCACAACTACAGATCGGGGATCTTCCAAAATCGAGAAGATTGGTGCATACGGCTAGGTCTCTTCACCTTACAATTTGTATGGCAATTTGGCCCGGGGTTGTGGTGTGGTAGGGGAGAATGGGGGATAATCCCACGCAGGAGTTCCGAACGATGTCTGGTTCATGTTTGGCTGGATAACTCCACCACCACACGGGGTATGCGGTCGGCGATGGGGTCAAAATGCTCGTATGATCGAGGGCTTTTCGATGGATCTATCGGCGGGTTCTTATTCGAAAAATCGAGCGAGTTCGTGGTGGAGCGGTTGTCAACTTATTATATTGCAGTAGATTCTGTTGACTGTAAGATTAACAGAGAAATTATTAAGAAGTAGCTTTGTATTCTGTTACTATTACTGTTTTTACTTTTACTTTTACTTTTATTTTTATTTTTATTTTTATTTTTTTTTTTCTCTTAATATTGTGATTCAAAGGTTGCTTAAGCCAGTGTATAATTACAGGTGTACACCGGCTTCTTATATATTGTAATATCATACGCTAAATTAATTAGTGGCCGCTATGGCCCCCTCTTTACACTCATATGCTAGTAGTTCGGAAGCGGCCGCATTATTATCCGACAGTTGTATGTTCTTCTGAACCACATTCTCTCTCATCAGATTCAGTCACACTCATATGATTATATCATATGTTCTAGCTTCATGCAGATTAGCTCATCACTAGTGTTTTATAATTGTGTGATCTATTCCTGATTCAGCTAGCATTCTGCATATGCTCTTACAAAGAAACTTTCACTATAATACATTACTTATTCACTAACTTTTTTCATTCTTCAATCATCTTCTTCATCATCATCATCATTAAATATCATCATTATTTCAGATTTCTATTCCTTCTTCTATTCAACTCTTTCTATCTGTTCATCTATCACATCATATGTGTTTCTGGTAATGATCTCTCATTCTTATAACAAGTGTCATTGTAGTACTTATATCAGGCAGTTCATTAGCAGTAAGTGTAATATGTTATGAAATGTAATCAGAACTTGTTTATCTTCTAACAATTATCAGAATGTATTATTATAAATAACACATCTTCTTTATCTTCTCATATGTTCTTGACTGTTTTTCTTCTCAGTGAGTTTCTGATCATGTTTTCTGACACAATTTTATATGGACACAGATGCTGATATATTGTTTTTATTTATATAGAATCTTTATATGTTGACAGATCTGTGTCTGCTGATAATAGTGAACTCAATGTTGAATCATTAGTTGAGAACTTGAAGAATGTGATAATAAAGGAATTGTCTATGCCATGTGTGACTGAGTCTCCCGCGTCTCTTTCTGCTCTCTCTGCTGCTGCTTCTTAATCTTCTACACCTGCCTCTGTGTCTGGTTCTTCTGCTCCTACTACTCCTGTTCCCGCGACTCTCACTTCTACTACTCCTGGTTTTACTGTCTCTGCTTTCATTACCAGCTCTCTCTGTTTCAAGGAGATATTGTGTAGACTTAATGAATCATGTCTCTCAGCACATATACCCTCACTCTTCTTACTGACTCTCAGAATAATTTATTATATAAAGACTGTGTATAACATAACTATCTGAAGCTTGATTACAGATACTAATTATTACATTTATTTTAAATATTTATGATGAGACAATTGTTCATTTATATCAGAGAATCACTCTTCTTCTCAACAGTGTTAAAATTATAAGTATTTTTCTTTTTCATCTTTTCTTTCTGACACTGATTTTTCTATTCTTAAGAAAAATTGTTATGAGTTTTACTGTGTACAAAGTCATGATATTCACAGATATCAAGAAGCTTTTCATAACTATCAAATTCAATATTGTGAGTATATCTGCTCTGATAAATATCTTCAGAATGATTGACTTATATCAGTCTATTCTCTGATATTTATCATCTGACTTTGTAATGCAGATGAAGAATATCTGTGTTTTCAGAAACAAAAATGCAGATATCATACTCTTTTACATCTGTGAGTGTGAGGCTTGTATGCCTTGTCTGAAATATTATCATGAGAATGAGCTGTTTACATACTATGTTCTACTTTCTACATTCTCTCATATCTCTCTCTCTCTTTCTGAGAAGTCTTGTGTATGTTGTAATTGCATGTACAACTCTAAGATCAGTGAGTATTTATTCAGTAACTGTTTTCATCTCTGATTTTACAATTTTTATATGCTAATAATAATTCTTAGTTGCTCTGATGTCAGAGGTCATTCTGATTGAAGATGATAACACTGTTGAGACTATTCTCTCTCACTCTTAAGCTTCTTTCATTACTTTCTCTTTCTTCTCTGCAGAGAAGATTGTGTATATATCAGATTATAAGTATTCAGCTCTGAGTGACTTCTATCATTATTCATTCAGTTCTGTATCTTCTTCTTCTTCTATTTCTTCTGTCTTTATTCTCTCTGTTCTGACTTCTGATTCTGTGAGTCTCACACTCTTCTTCAATTTTTCTATGTGTACACATACACATTTCTATATTAGTATTTCAGTCAATCTTGTGATAAATGATATTAATATCATACATAGAGTGATAGAGAAATCAGAGATGTATGCAGTGTTATTGTAAGAGCA